TGCTGTGGTCCACAGAAACCTTGTCATCCACGAGGCATTAAATTAAACTTTTAATTAAAGTAAAAGACGACTTCAAAGAGCTAAAAAAAATATTAAAATAATTTCTTTAATCACACAATTAGACACTTTTGATTACTCTATACACTGTGTTTAAGCACGTACTTCTGAAACTATTATGTGGAGTGCGGCGTTACCGTTACAGCCTATTAAAGTCCACTGCTGAACACTGCTCTACCTCCCATAGATTGCCTCATTTTCCATAGTTGGCGGTTCCACACTTGATTTTTTAGTCGTTATTATGAAGATGCTGCTGCCCATCTCTTGGTTTGTTTTCCTCCGTCGCTCCGTGTAGTGGGATATTCTTACACCCCCACTACATCGTACTATGTTACACGGCATGTGGAGAATATTTTATTATTTTATTAAATGTTTATTTTTTGCATTAAAACTTCAACTATAATGTCACAATATTAAGTTATATTATTGTTCGTCACCTAAATCCCTTGCTATCCGGTGAGTGTCGCGTCTTACGATGCTATTGCACTGACATACTGTGAGAGTGTGAAGGTATTGGCCTACTCATAGACCTACAGCGTAGTTCTACCACTGCTACTCCACAACATATTACAATTAGTTAAGAGAATGCTACAATAATAATAATTATTATTCCTGTGGTCGTTTCTGCGAACGGGTTAATCCCAGTCAGCCTCTCGGGTCATCTAAGGCAACTGGGACTCCGTGACGGACCGCTCCGAGCTCAAATGCATAAGGCGGTGCTCCTCGATACCGCCCGCATCGTCCGCCGGTTTCTTTCCCTATCCCCCTAACCCTCGGCTGTTTGGTCTCCCCTGCCGAGGGCTTCCATCTGGTTGGGTTTTTATGTATTTATGTAATTTTTATATATTTATTTTATATTGATACTGCCCAACCAGATGAGAAAAATTTATAGATACCCCATAATAATATAATAATAAATTATTTATTTCGTTAAACACTAAAGTTACATTTTTTTACGTGGTAAAGCCATACTGCAGTTTTATTAATAGTAAAGTTGTAGCACGAATGGGTCGGCTCGACCGGGGAAGGACCACGCTCTCACAGATACCAGCGTAAAATAGCAGTTTAATGCATACAGCAGTATTTCATATGGTGAGTGTAGAGAACCGGAGACCCATTTTACTGGAAAAGAGGCATTCTATCTTAGTTCTCACGCACACATTTATTACACATTAGACACACATGTCTATAGGCCGCAGCAACCACTTACCATCAGGTGGACCGTGTGCGCGTTTGTCACCCTTATTCTTTAAAAAAAAAAAACATTATATGATCAGTGATCGAGGTCACCTAGTAAGCAAAATAATGCCCGTAACAGGTGACTTCGCTCGGTACTATCACATTTTCACACATTCAAAATAAACACGAAAGAAATTCGTAACCAATTACTCATTCAACAGTTACGTACATTGGTCGGGCCAATATCAGTTTCTCCCCCATTGCAACGAAAAGCGCGTAAAGCCGTCCGTCATGCGTCTTATCGTTCTCCAGTCGTGTCCTATTGCCGTCTCATTTGACTATGAGAGTGAAGGAATAGAGAGTGCACCGCCGTCGGTTTGATCGTTCGGTTGGAGGTAATTATGATTTAAATTTTTGGATTCGATTCGAGTCTGGGACCGTGGACATGCACCATAATTGCGCTTACGACCACAGGACACAGTCACAAATCACAAACGACTTATACCAATTACTGTCAGACTATGAGGCATTCCGACTTAGTCCTCAGGGGTGTCAATTTAAAAAAAAGTTAAAGTTACAGCCTATATACTTACGTCCCACAGATGGGCACATGCCTCCTCTCATTTCTGATAGCGTTTTAGGGCAAATAAATGTCCGCCGCGCTGCCCCAATTCCTGTTGCAATGTTGTTAATTTCGCAATATTATTTTTTTCTTATTATTCAAACATGCAGGTTTCCTCACGATGTTTTCCTTTTACAGCCGAGGAAAATCGAACGGTTTTCTCGTGAACTGTGAAATTTACAGCGAGCGCTTACCCCCTGATCTACTACGGCTCTCAGGGGTGTAGCCTTCATTGAATATAGTTGGCGCTGCAAGTGTCTATTGGCTGTAGTAGCCACTTACCATCAGGTGAACTGTAAATTCGCTCGTCATCTCAGTTTTATTTAAAAAAAATGCAATGCAAATAATTCTTTTAACATTCCGTAAATAAAAATTCTCGCTTCTAAAAACACACAGCAGTGCAAATCGTTGTAATCCGACACTTGTTTTGACGAGTTAATTGCGTCGTGACGCTTTAGTAAGATACACGAGAGCAATTCTCGAATCGTCCATCATAGGTCAGTAACTAACCGTAGCGTACCATTACCGCCTATCAAACCAGCCTTTAAAATTACATCATACCACTCCACCAGTCCCACTACTGCGCAGAGACATCCTCTCATTTCTGATGTGTAATGTTCTGGAAATGCGTGTTTGCGGACTTCACATGTCTTTCAAGTATTTTTAATTTATCAGACATGTAGGTATACTGGCTTGCGATTAGGTTATCACGTTAAACAGCACAGCGGTAAATGGTAAAAAAAAGTTCATATATGTCTGTTAAAATAATAAAATAAAAAATTATACCAAAAATAAAAAATGCATCTTTCAAACAAAATAAATGGCGTAAAAATTGACACGAAATAAATCACCGTGATGATATAAGTTTACTGACCTGAAGTGAACTGAAAAAGCGGCAACGGTGCGGCAGGTGCGGAATGCTCACGCGGCATCGACATATGTAATTGTTTACCTACACTTTTCCATTCGTAGATAATTAGGCAAAGAACTAAAAAGAGGGCTACCACGACTAAAATGTTAATTGTTATTAAGTGGCGAAGCTTGCGAAGTCACTTATTGATTTCACGATGTCTGTCCGTCTGTCCGTCTGTCCCACGATTATCTCAAGAATGGTTTCGAATTTTCAAATTCTGTTTTCAGCAATCGATTACTGATCACCCAGGCATCCGAACCTCCTATTTTGAAACTGATTGCTCAACGGCAACCATTAGAAACCGCTACAAAGCTGATTGCTTCGCCACTTTGCTATGCTGTTAGCTTGCTAGGTTTATTATATTTTTAGTCGTGTATATTCAAAGAACGTTATGTAGGATAAGGTATTTTCATTTAATGTGATAACTTTATTCAGCTTACTGATCCACTTAAATATGTCAGTTACTCTAGTTTTTCTGCGGATACCCTCAAATAATACTCAAAACTCAAATATTTTATGGTAGTCATCATTTTTATGTTTTATTAAATTGCGGCTTTAGACTTTGTATTTGAGTGTTGATATACAGATTTCTGAAAGAAAACGGTGAATTAAATCTGGTAGATATGTAACACTGATAAAACTAACGTTTAGTTGGATACAAAACTGGACAAATCTTGCGATAATCTTCTTTCATGCATGATACCAACTCAGGTTTTCTCGTCGACAGCTGATTTAAAGTTGACCAGAGAATGCTGCCATCGGCTGATGAATAGCCTCCAGCTCGCGGAAGTTAGAGATGCGGACCTAGACGTAATATTCTCCTCGCTTCCTAGGTTCGCTCTGGTGCATATATCCTGCACCTGTTCGACGTGATAAGTAGCTTTTTAAAATCCCCGCTCTGATAGGTTCAAAATCTTCATCGTGGAAACAATAAAAATACTATTTCAACAAAAGTATACTGATAAGCAATGAACAATATTTATATACCCTCCTACTTACATAAATATATTTTTATACAATGCTCATGACTTGACTTAGTAGTCCGGTTCACTAAAAATTGTATCAATCACACCAAATGGTCTACTAATATAATTAAATACGTTTTTATAAAAACCTATGACTGATAACAACAATCATAATTTATTTGCGAGTAAGCATTGTATACAAAGATAAAAGATATAAATCTTTGCACAGATTATTCAAACAATAATTTACTCCGGCGGCTTCGAAGCCCCTTCCAAGTTACTACAACCAATAATAAAAATGTAATACTGTACAAAGTAGACAAGAAAAATGATACTTGGCATTGAGATACAATATAGTCTAGAATAACACATACGCTACTTTTTATCCCTAAAATAATATTATTTATATGAAAGTTTAAATGATTAGATGTTTTTTTATACTCAATCACACAAGAATGGCTGAACGGATATGGATGAGATTTCGCATAAATATAGAAAATAGTCTGAAACAACACATAAGCTACTTTTATCATGGAAATAATAAATACGTTAGTCTGGATGTTTAGGTGTTTGTTACTAAATTGTGTCAGAATGGCTGAAGGGATATGGATGAAACTTTGTATAGAGATAGAATATAGTCTGGAATAACACATAGGGTACTTTTTATCCCGGAAATAATATTATAAAAGTCGAAGTTTGGTAATTTGGATGTTTGTTACTAAATCACGCTAGAACAACTGAACGAATATGGATGAAATTTTTTACCCCGTAAAAAAGTACGGTTCCCGTGGAATAGAAAAATAGTAGACCGCGCGCGAAGCCACTAACGTTCGTTAGTTACATATAGAAAAGGCCTCTAACAATACAAACAAACGTGTTCATGCGCAAAAATTTTTGTACTGTGTAGGAATCGAACCGCAACCATCAGGCTTTATAGTCCGCTCGTAGTACAAACCACTAGCCCTTTGCGATCGACACCATTGGTTAAATAAATTGATATAATATAGAAACTTGCGAGCATGTATGCACTAATTTGGTTAGACTAAAAATTTCGACCTCTACTGGAGAGAATTGGGGCCTTCAGCGGCACGTAGCTCGAGCGAAGCGAGAGCAAGTGACGCAGAAGCCCCAATTCTACCCTACTCATCTTAATACTATATTTCATGAAAATCCGTTCTGAATTATTGTAACTCTAATTTTCTGAAAGAGAAATTCTTTCTTGTGAAGTGATTATGATGCGTAAATTTATGTTTAATCTGTACAGAGAATGCAGCAGCGGCAGTGACAACAAAGCCAAAGAGAAGAGCGTATCTACTGAAGAGGAAGGCGTTGACGACCGGCTTCTTTGATCAGAGTAGAGCCAAAGATGGTGAAAAGGATAAAGGTAAGACTATTCAGAGATAAGAATTAGATATTGTTAATTTATTTATAAAAGATTATTAATTCTCAAAATTACCTCGTGCAAATCAATCGCAAATATCCTGTATTTTTGGTGTGGTATAATTCTTAAATATTTGATTATCTACCTGATATTAAAGTTAAAGTCACAGCTTATATACGTCCCACGGCTGGGCATAGGCCTCCCTTCATTTCTGAGAGGGTTTCAGGGCAAGGAAATGTCCGCCACGCTGCCCCAATGCGTGTTGGCGAACTTCACATCTCTTCGAAATTCTTTTTTTTTTCTTATTTCTCAGACATGCAGGTTTCCTCACGATGTTTTTCTTCACCGCCAAGCACATGGTAAATCAGCACTTAAAATTGCAATTAACAATTTCAATGATACCGGCGGGGACCGAAGGACCGAACCCGGATTGTTCGCGTACTGTGAAATTTACAGCGAGGGCTAACCATCTGAGCTACCACGGCTCTTTTACCTGATATAAACACAATTTTAATGTATGAATAAAACGACAACTTGACGTCATAAACATTAATGTGTCCTTTAATTAACACCATTGACCACCGGTTTCTTGCGTGAAAATGTCTTGGTGATTTAGTTTTAAAATAGGTCCTTTGGTAAAGCATTAAAACCGTTACCGTTACAGCCTATTAAAGTTCACTGCTGAACATGAGCCTCCCCATAGATTTGCCTCATAGGGGGGATATTTGCCATAGTTGTAATGTTACTGTTGAATTGAAAATTTCACCTCTCAGTGGGTCATGTGCTCCTGGTAGAATATCTTCTATACATCCATCCATTACAGCCTATTAAAATCCAACTGTAGGCCTCCCCATAGATTGCCTTATAGAGGAGATTTTTGCTATAGTTGCCACCCTTGGCAAGCCGGGGGGCAACCGCAGTTTTTATTTTTATTTTTAGTCATTGTTAGGAAGAGGATGCTGCCCATCTCTTAATTTCTTTCCCTTTGTCGCCTCATTGAACACCCACTGGATGATATGGGGTATTAGATATTCTTACACTACGATTTCAAATTAATGGTCAAAGTATTAAAAGTACTAATCTATTTCATAATTTATCAACTGCCCCGTTGGTTAAGTGTTTGTAAGCGCTTCTATTTATCAGGAGTTCACGGGTCGGGCCAAAATCAGTTTATTTCGTCGGATATTTTCTGTCGAGAAATTCTCATAAGCAACCAAAGTTAAGAAGTTAGCGGTGTTTCACCCGTACGTACTACCTAAAACATATAATACGTAAAACCGTTGGTACTGTACCTGATCTTACTCCGGTCGTGTCGGATTGCCGTCCAAACAGACTATAAGAATGAGAGGATTGAGAGTGTGTCTGTGCTTGCACATACACTTATGTACTATAATCCTGTCGTGCATTGGCTAGTACCGTTGAGATTTGCCGTACTGACCAAAATTCGGTCTGGAGGACATAATTATTTTTTCTTTAAATTTAATTTCTACGTTTTATACCTTTAATTTTATAAGCTGACATAGAAACGCTAGATTAAATTGTGCCACGCTCACATAAATTATCAGCCTAAAATAACAGCTTAATATTGTTATATTTCGCGTGGAGAGTGACAGGAACTGGAGACCCTTTTAGTGGCATCGAATATGGAGTGCCATAGCATCAGCTTGTCATTAGATGGGCTGTGCGCTCCTTGATCACCTTTACTTCTAAGAAAATGCATCGCTCGTTATTTATTTCTATAGGCAATTACTTAAGTATTATTAACAAGGGCTATCCGTTTTGTGAGAAAACGGTTTGTTAGAAATGGCAATATACAAAAAAAAACTAATCTTAATAGAAGTTTGATATTTATGTTTACTTTGTTATTGTAAATGAAAACGTGTAGCAAAACTTCTTAAAACTACCTACTTATAAATGAGATCGAGCTTAACGCTGGAAGGCTTTCGTAGACGCCTACGCAATTACGTAGCATCTAGGAAAACGTGTAGCACTGCTACGCTCTACGAACTCTTTAATATTTAGAGTTCATCGGCTACGCCACTAAATTATGTGACATTGGTTGATCTAAGGTAAATTTAAATAAATTATAGTCTTGCGGTCGTTATGCAATTAAAATAATCTCCATAATTTATAATCAACTAACAAAACTCTTTCCACTTGCTACGATCCTTACATACTTGTTTCGCTTCGTCCACTTTCATTATTCCCTTCATACATGCTCTACGATTTCGAGTACTCTTGACCCGGCCTTTTTTCAAGACGTCCTTGATTTAGTCTTGAACTGTCCGCCTAGGTCTACCCCTTCCAATACTTTCATTCACACTCGCCTTATATACTTTTTTCGTCAATCGTTCTTTATTCATTCTCTCGACATGACCAAACCATCTCAGCATACCTTTCTCAATTTAATAAAGGTAATAAATTTTTATTTTATTAATAATTAGTAAAGGTTCGGTTCGATATTTAAGGGTTGTTTCGGTTCCGTTTGTCCATGTATAATTAATGTAAATGATACGCTTTTACAGCAAAAACTCCTAGTATACATTAATATGTATTTAGTAAAAAAAAATGATTAAATTTTTAATTGATTGATGTCCAACTCTATGTATCTTCTGAAAATCTATTGAGTCTAATTTTATTAAAACGTTCGTCTAAAAGTGCTTTGATATAGCAACCCTATACCCTAATCCTAGACTCTAGAAAAAATTATTACTGCAGTCCTATCTAGTCCTTAGCATAATTCTAAGCTCCAGTGTCCTAGAAATTTGTTATGCATCACAGGTATACATGCTTCGACTATTTTTTTTAATATTTCATTCTATGCAATAAAACTTAAAAGTGGAAAAGCATGCCATCATCTGTTTTTCCATCTGATTACAATGCGGGTGTTTTTATGACAAGAGCGAATAGGCTTTTATTGAGATAATTAAATGCACTTTACCATCTACGGCTACATCACCACTTACCTTTAGGTAGGATTGAAATCAACACTTCAAATTGCAATTAATAATTCTTATTAATTATTTTAATATACTTACATTTTTCTTGTTTTTCTTAATAACGTTACCCCTACTCTTGGATTTTCTCCTGCACCGTGGAGACATTTTACAAACATATATTGCACAGGGACAAACATCTAGACCCGGACAATTATTTGAAAACCATACAAATACTTGTTCCGTGCAGAAATCGAACCTGCGGCCCACGTCTTTTTACCATCTCAATCTAAAAAAAAAAACTTTCAATACGAATTACATATAACCTATATTAAATAAAACAATATTCTATTCTATTCTGTCTATTCTATTCTAATGTGAAAACCCTATTTGTCTGTCATCGGATACGTAACAACTATAGGTTATTGATGCCAGTTACGAAATCGCGTCAGTTTGAATGAGTGGTCCATCCGCCGTCCTGTGCCAATACCTCGTCATATATCGGCCTTTTGTTTGTTATGAGAGATATTTAGAATGACAGTCGCCGGCCAAGCTACGAGCGTTACTTTTAAACTGCACACCAGAAGTCTATAGCCAGATGTTTAACCAGATGTATGTTGATGTGTATATTTTTCTACTTTTCTAAACTTTTTTTCTTAAATTATGACAGTGATGTATTTTCTAGCTTTTATATTACACTGGTTGACACGATTGTAATTTTAGTCTGACTTGTGATGTCAAATTTCGCTTTCATAACGTAGAATACTAATAAAGAGAAAAATATTTTTTCGTTCGTTTTTCTATAACCTGTTCACTATATTTTTTTATTTGTCATCCGACAAAAATTTCCGCTTTTACTTTAGTTTCAGATAATTTGGGATTGTTGAAAACATGGAAATATTTCGAATTGTTATTAATATTAAAATATTATAAGAATTGAGATTAATTGGGGTTAATTCTAAAATTTTACACTTTAATACTCGTAATAACAGTTATTGAGTATTGAAGTTACAAATATAATAATATGTTTTAACCTTTTTTAGATTTTAATCTTTTGTTTCTTAACTTATTAAGTATTTTTACAGTTAATACAAAGTGAGTTACCCATTTTTTATCTTGATGCCAAATTCGCAGCTTAAAAAAGACTTCATAAACTTCACAAAGCTTTAAATTTGTTGCTAAAAGTTTTTTTCCATCTTACTTCAATAAATTCACATTTTCTATAAAAGTGCTACCACCACCTCCTAGTTAAATCAGTAAAAATCTTTAAAACTTAGTTATCGACATAAAACAGACAAAAGCAAACTTGCAAAGCTAAGAATGGATATTTTGGTGTTTTTGATGCCTAGTAAAATGCCTAAAAAATAAGTTCTTTGTCGACCTTTCTTATTCTTCTTTTTATCTATCTTCCCGTCTGGGAGTTTTCTGCTAGATAGGTATGGGCCTTTCCTAACCTAAGTAACTCTAAACCTAAGCCTCACGCACGTCTTACTTTTTCTATGTGGTAAGGGCTGCCACTATATATATGCCGACCCATTTATGTTGTAGCATAAATGAGTCGGCTCGACCGGGGAAAACCAAGTTAAAATAGTAGCTTAAAGTTGCTGTTTCGTATGGTGAGTGTAGAGAACCGGATACCCTTTTTACTGGAAACGAGGCATTCCATCTTAGTCCACAGGGGTGAAAACGCATCTTCATTTTGATTCTTAATCGAGGATAGATCAGATGTCTATGGGTCACAGCGTCCACTTAATATCAGGTGTGTGTGGGGCTAAGTATCCACATATGATCAGGTGGACGGTATGCTTGTTTGTCATTCTTGTTGTATAAAAAAACCATAAGAAATCCAGCATCAGTGACTTGCTATTTTACGCTGGTATTCTGTAAGAGCGCGGTCCTTACGCGGTCAAATTAACCCATTCCTACTACAGCCATAATATAGCTGCAGCGTTGCTCTACTACCTACAGCTGTAACACAGCATATTTTTTCGCATAATTCAATTTTGCATACCGCTTTACCCGATTATAGCTTTTAAAAGTATCATACACAGGCGCGTATAGATAGAT